TTGTGTTACATTAGCTGGTACAATATCTCATAAGTTTGGTCTCAACAATTTTATACTTGTACAACGCGTTCGCTCTAAGTTTGCCGGTCTGTGGAATGCGCGTACCCTCCCCCACGTGACAACAAAACTTATAATGTGTCATAGTTTTACCCAAATATCTAACGTACACAATTTTTATTGTTACAATTAAATAAAAAATTTCGAACGTCATACACTCATACCTATCGCCAGCGGCAAACTTAAAACGAGCGGGTAGTATACTTGTAAGCGCTCAGTCTCTTTGATAAAAGCCGCCTCTGAATTAGACGCTATAGTTGTCAACTAGCGACTTTCGTCTCTAACTTCAAAGGATAAAGTCGATATTGTTTACAACGCTATTTTTAAATTTCTGTTTTTATTTTTGCTTTTTGTTTATCAAAGGTGCCGACTCGAGTATTTTCGAGAATATTTGAGATCGAGTCTAGGACTAAGTATAAAAGCGGCGATCGCGCGTTGGCGTCGTCAGTTGATGATTAGCGTTCGGAGCGATAAGTTACTACCTACTTACAAGCTCGCTAGCGAGAAACTGGTGTTCATTGTTTTACTGCCTGCTGTATTCTGTTGTCTCAGTTTTATACATTTCTTCCCTGTAGGTTCTAAATTTAGTCTCTTATACGCAGTAACGATTGTGCATTATTTAAACCCCACTATCCTGACTTGTAACATTATAAATAAAGAAGAATGGAACGTTGGCTTAAAGGTGTTAAACGTGTTCCAACAACATCTTCTAATGACGCTGAATGTTCAAAAGCAATGCGCGCGGAGAATTTAGCAATCACCGATCCAGAAGATGATGCCACGAGTGCCACGACGTCAAGCTCGACGGTTTCAAAGACGAAAAAAAGGAAGTATGATGAATCTTATATCAGTTTCGGATTTGTTGATTCCAACGGCTCACCTCTCTGCATGCTCTGTAGTAAACTGCTTCCTAATAGTTCCATGGCACCTGCCAAATTGCGTCGACATTTAGAAACCGTACACCCCGAGACTAAAGACAAGAATAAAGAATTTTTTGTTCGCAAAAAAGATCAGTTATTAGAAAGTCAAAAAAATATGATGCATGTAACACAAACTACCAACGAAAAGGCCACGGAGGCATCATACTTAGTTAGCTATCGCATTGCACAAGCAGGTGAAGCGCACACTATCGCTGAGAAATTAATAAAACCATGTGTATTAGACATAACAAAATGTATGCTTGATGAAAAATCTGCAAAGCATCTTTCTACTGTTCCGCTATCAAACGATACTGTTTCACGACGAATCCATGATCTGGCAAGCTACGTCAAACAAGAACTAGTTACACGTCTACAAAATACACGATTCGCTTTGCAAATGGACGAGTCGACTGATGTCGCTGGTTTGGCTATCCTGCTGGTTATTGTGAGATATCCATATAAAAGTTCTTTTGAAGAAGACATGCTTATGTGTTCATCGCTGCTTACAAACACTACCGGGGAAGAAATTTTTAATAAAATAAATATATTTTTTGAAGAACATAATCTCAGTTGGAACAATTGCATTGACATTTGTACAGATGGGGCCAAGGCGATGACAGGTAAAACAGCAGGAGCAGTGTCACGAATGAAAAATAAAGCGCCTAATTGTAGTTCCAGTCATTGTATTCTGCATAGACAAGCACTTGCGATGAAGCAAATGCCGTCTAATCTAAAATTAGTTATGGATGAAGCGGTAAAAATAATTAATTTTATCAAATCACGACCACTACAATCCCGATTGTTCTCATTATTGTGTGAAGATTATGGCAGCAAACATAAAACACTGCTGCTCCATACAGAAGTGCGATGGCTGTCTCGGGGAAAAACTTTAACAAGGCTATTTGAACTTAGAGCCGAGTTACAAATGTTTCTTTCAGCAGATACTTCTTTTAATTTGAAGGACCGTTTGTATGATAAAACTTGGTTGTTCCGATTGTCTTTTATGGCGGATATCTTTCAAAAACTTAACGAATTAAATTTATCATTGCAAGGTAAACAGACAACAGTGTTTCAGGCCTATAATAAAATAACTACTTTTAAAAGAAAATTAGATTTTTGGATCATTTGCATTGGTAAGAAAGAAATAGAAAGTTTTACGTTACTCACTGAGTTTGTTAGCGAAAACGACTCAGAAATGTTTGAAGATAATGTGTTTGAAGAATTGGTCCAATATCTCAGTTCGATGCGCGCATCTTTTGAAAAGTATTTTCCCGAAGAACACAATACAAAAATTAAAGTGAACTCCTGGATTCATAATCCTTTTTTACCCAACTTGGAAAAGCCTGAAAACATGTCAAATGAGATATATGAATCTCTTTTAGAAATGTCATCAGACACAAGTATGGAGTCATTGTTCAAAACGACGCCTCTTAATGATTTTTGGTGCAGAATCCAAGATGAATATGCAATGCTTGGCCAAATGGCTCTGGATATTCTTCTCCCGTTCCCAACTACATATTTGTGCGAAACAGGATTCTCTACCTACGCAGCCACGAAAACAAAATATCGCAATAGACTGGACGCCGAAGCTGATATGAGACTCCAACTTTCTTCCATCAAACCTGATATCAAGCAATTGATGAAAAATAAAAAACAGTTTCATACCTCCCACTAGTTAGATTTTTTCTTTTTTAATGTTTTCTATTATTGTCCTTACCAAGTGGTGAAGTAAATAATAATTAGTAACGGATACATTGTACTTTTATTATGCTGATTAATATAGAATACACTTATAAAAATAATTGTTTTATTGTAGGGTTCCATCAAGTATTTTGCTTCCCAAAAGGGTTCCGTCATTTAAAAAGTTTGAGAACCACTGGTTTAGATAAAGTCTTATAAGATTATTGGAGAGAACGGGGCGGAATATCGCTCTGAACTATCAATTTTACAATGGTTTACTATGGGCAGAGCTATCTATTGTTGCGATATCCGACTCATTCTAATAAGACAACAAGGGAATGATAATTTTAATGCGTATACAACCGATTCATGTGAAATTATAGATACATTTTTATACATTGCTCTCGTATCGTCGTGAGTTCATTTTCTTTCGCTTCGGTCGTCGCGTACATTATGAATTAATATCTCTTATCTATTAGACAAGTCCGTCCGTCTGTGTGTGGTGCTGTTTCAGCGGCCAAACCGTAAGAGATAGATAAAGACAATATTTAGGTTATAAGTTAAGAATAGTCTGATAAGACTACAAACCGGATTTGAGTAACGTAGCACTTCCGGTTTTCGAGAAATCACGAATTTCAAACGAAACCACAGAAAATCTCCGAAGTTCTCAATTAATTAAATACATTTTTTTTTAAATCAGGTTTTGGTGAACATTTGGTTCACTGGTTTGCTAGTATATTGTAAGTGTGGTGAATATTTTCACGGGAATAGATAATTAATAAATAAAATAAAAAATGAAATGCACCATGATAAAAATAAACGATCGAAACGAACGAACGAAAAAAATCGCCAATTGAATACCGTTATACTCATTCACTCACACACATACACACATAACCACACACACACACACACACACACACACATCACACCCACCCATTTATGTTAGAGATTTTTAATAGTATTTCATAATTACAGTTTTTCTGTTCTTTTTAGTAGCATTATAAATGTGATTATCAAAAAAGCTTTATCACTAAATGTTCAGATTCGATGAGCGGGCGCTGCTGAACTGTAACACAGGTATTGCCATACCTATATCAGGGATCATACTCTTACATCTTATGTAAGATTATTTTCACCTTGTATAGCGTCCCATAATATGGAAGTTGTGAACAGTAATAAAACATTATATTATATTACTCTAATAAAAATGAGGCTTAAACTGTTTAAATATCTAAGAGCGGCGGTCTCCGCCCAAAACGCGCATACCAGTAGTTTTCACTATAAAAATCCAAATATGAATCACTGAAACAGTATTGGTTCGCCTGCCATTTTAGGATATTCCACTAACTACAAGGATATCTGATTGATAATATTTGTGTTGTCTTATCTCTAGATAACACCGTATTTTAAAACCACAGAGCTGCGAATGTTAGTTGGTATAGTAAGTGCCAAATCAAACTTAACTTTTTAATATCCTTATAATATTATAAATGTGAAAGTCTGTAGGTTTCTGACTCAATCACGCAAAAACTTCTGAACGGATTTGAATGAAACTTGGTACGCATATAGCTAATGAATTATATTGAGGCATAAGATACTTTTAATATCGGTTAAGGTTGGGTTCCTGTGAGATTCTCTAAAAAACTAAAATTAACGCGAACAAAATCGCGGGCGGCCGCTAGTCTATATACGAGTATATAAAACACAAAGGTCATAGTGATCTATCAACGCACAGCCCAAACCACTGGACGGATTGGGCTGAAATTTGGCATGCAGGTAGATGTTATGACGTAGGCATCCGCTAAGAAAGGATTTTGATCAATTCTACCCCCAAGGGGATAAAATAGTGAATGAAAGTTTGTATGAAACTTTGCCAATTTTAAACCGATCGGGCTGAGACTTTGCATGCAGGTATAAGAAGAATCATAGATGAATGTCATTGTATATAATACAAGCCTGAGAACAAAAACTGTAGTCTACACTTCAGCTCTACAACGAAGCGAAGCGAGGGCGAGCCGCTAGTTAGTAAATAAATATGTATGCGTGAGAGTACCTAAGGTGTTTTTATAAGAGAAGATTGAATTCCTGCGCTAGTTGAGAAGCAGCAAAATATATATAATCTATCGGAATAAAAGTAATATGCGAGATTCCTACTTTAAATATAAAAAGGTTATCATTATTAGCGTCGCAATCTGTTCTTTCTTTTGCTACCATAATTACCATTCAAGGACATTATATTATTGGTATGCACTTTTAAATTTTGCTTTGGTAACACACATCTCAATTTAAACCGATGAATCACTATGAGTGACTATAAAGTTTATGCCACTTCTAAACAATGTGTGACTCTATATTGACGTCAAGAATATCGGTGAGGAGGTGTGAATAACAAATTTATGACAAATACTTTTGCATTCGCACAGTATGTTTTTATGATATAAAAATTTAAAAGTTTTACAATAATTCAGTGATGTTAGTGATAAAGTGATACAAAGGAGAATGTCTAGTTATAATAAGGGTAAGTTGATTTGTTTTTATTATAAGAACCAAGAAATTTCCCATTCAGGCTTGGGTTAGGTTACAGTATAATAATGAATCGTAGATGTTGATGGGCTCCCACGCTACTGCAGTGCATCGGGTATGTTCGCAGATGCCCACTTAGACGACTTCCCTTCAGGGATGAGCAAGAGAATTGCATCGCTGATGCACAGGGTTCGTGGGAGCGCCAACAGTATTCTTAATGTTATCGGGAAAAAACCGGAGTGTGCTATTCTGAGGCACTGGGTACATATACACGTCCGTGAGACCGGTGCTTTAAGCCAGGTACTCATTAGCGAGCTGTAACAGTAACCGTTGCATCCACTGTAACCTAAGGGGGCGTCCATGAATTACGTGAGATGTTTAAGGGGGGGAGGGGGTCGAGTCAAATCTCATTTAATCTTATGTTGGAGAGGGGGGGTCACGGCAAATATCACGCAATTTTTTTTCTGATGAAACAAAAAAAAAATATACTATGTTGGTCCATTTAATGCAGATTGTACATGCTTAAGATTTAATCTTAAGCATTATCGTAATACGATTAAGATCATTCAATAATTTCGAAAAAAATAACTCTCAGCAATATTGATTACTAGTCTTAACTAGTCGTAAATAAAAGCACGAAGCATTTTTTTTTCTTTTTACAATAACAATCCAACGCGTTTGCGTAAGAAACCCACATTTTGAAAAATCTCACGACATCTCACCAGGGGGGGAGGGAGGGACAGAAAATTCAAAAAAATACCTCACGTAATTTATGGACGCCCCCTAAAAGCACAGTGTGTACGTGGTTTGCTAACTAAGCTGCGAGCGGTACGCGTGCGGTTTGCAGCGAGCCTACGCTTACAACTGAGCTACAAGCGTACACACTAGAACCTCCTACTGTATCACGCAGAATGAGTACCCGGCTATATATATATATATAATAAATAATAATAAATAAATATTTCCAACACTCACACCAATTAGCCTAGCCCCAAAGTAAGCACTGTAAGGCTTGTGTTATGGGATGCTAGGGTAACGGATAGAGTACATATACTGTACATATATAAGTATATTTATATAGAAATAGATATTAAACATCCAAGACTGGAGTACAAATGCTCGTATTCATCACACAAACATCTGCCCCCACCGTGATTCGAACCCGAGACCTCTCGAGTCGGCGACACCATGAAACCCGGCGTACAAACCACTCGGCCACGGAGGTCGTCAACTAAAACTGAATTAACTTTGTTCCAAAATGTACTAACATAGTTTTAATGTCTGATTGTCTAAAATTTCTATGGATCTTGATCTGGAATAAACATTATTATTATTGTTATTGTTATGAGGCAACGGAAAGCGCGGACAGTCGGCAACGGTTGCCGCGACAACACCCGCACTCCCGGCGTACATTGGGGGGACTGCGGTCCTCAGAATGTTCGCCGGGTGACCGGTGCAGGAGTATTGTCTGGTTTTTAGTGGCCCTGTTCAGGGCGTTAGGTAGGGCCTTGCTCATTTCACCCGGCCCAAGGACTGGCTGAAATGAGCAGGAAGAGTCCCACATACCTTCTTCCCGCTCCCCCGGTGGTTGAAGGATGCGTAAGGCAATTCCCAGACAAAAAAAAACAAAAAAAAAAGGAGGCAACGGAAAAACATACAAGCAGCTAAAATCCAAGATGCTTTTCGACAACCAAGGTATTTAAAAGAAATTATAACCGATATGCATGCACATGCAATATCACGGATATATCTAGACTACTTAAAGCTGTCTGTTGTAGCGATATTAAGACTTAGTTATGGCACCAATATTCCTATTTTTTTTTATATATATATAACTAGGTAGGCAAATCTCTTTATCTTTACCCCACCTGATGTTAAGTGGTGATAAAGTCCAAACGCAAAGATAGCTGGTACAGCAGTTATAAAACTGCTACACCAACCATCCTCACCTTGCCGGCCTGCAAAAATGCTTCTTCACGCCTCTCTTAAAGGACCCCAGATTATAGGAAGGAGGGAACACGTGCGCGGGTAAAGAATTCCACTTACGAGTACGACAAAGAAATGAGTCACCAAATTTCTTTATTCGTGTAGGAATAGTGGCCACAGTAAGTCGGTGGCAACGTAGGCCAGCGCGCGTGGTCCTCTGAAGAAAAGGTGATGGAGGGATAAGCGAGAATAGCTCCTCAGAACACTAGCCGTGGTATAGTCGGTAGAATGCGCTTAATAATGCCACATCACGGCGTCAAGTCAGCGGGAAAAACCCCGAAATGTGTCGTGCATAAACCCATCAGGATTAAAACATTCAAAATATACCGCTTAACTTGCTAAAAACACAACGTATACATTAAAAAGCGCGAGTGTTAAGCTGAAAAAAAGTGAATTGAATATTTTTGGTGCAGACTTGAAAGTAGCTATATCTGTGAGTGGTGATTTTACTATAGGTATAGTAACTACTGTTATAAGGAATTCTGTGCAATCAATGTGCGCCAGAGCATTATCTCGTTTGTTTACTAACAGCCACCATAAATGTTTCGATTTTAAGTGCAGTTGTAGAAGAAAAGGAAACAAGTGCCCGTCTTATTATGCAGGTCTGCAAATGTCATATTACTTAATAGGGATGATGACTATTTTTTTTTCTTCGTTTATCAGGTAGATTATCAAAAAGTATTGGATACGTATTTTTTCTTTTTTCACATAATATAAACATTGCAGAGATATATTGATTTGAAAAGTCGCGTGACGTCACGTTTGAGTACACTTTTAAGCGAATATTCACTAAAAAGTGACGTCACGAGCCCCTACTCCCAAACTTTGACGCGCTATAACTTTGTCATTTTTTGGTTGATTGCCCAAAGAAAAAATACGTGTCCATCATTTTTTGATCATCTAACTGACGGACTAAATGGAATTTCGTTTACTGTACCTCGTCATCACCCCTATTATACAAGCCGTTCGTTTATAATTTAGTGAAATTGCGAACTGTAAACATAGGAATGGGAAGACAATTTGATTTCTACTTTATACGCTCCAAACACTTCTATCACTAATCATCTAACTGACAACCTCCGTGGCCTAGTGGTTTGTACGCCGGATTTAATGGTGTCGCCGATTCGAGAGGTCCCGGGTTCGAATCCCGGTGGGGGCAGATGTTTGTGTGATGAATACGAGCATTTGTACTCCAGTCATGGATGTTTAATATGTAATTCTATATAAATATACTTATATAGGAGCTCGATGGCGCAAGTGGTTAGCGCGTTCGGCTGCGATCGTTGAAGTTAAGCAAGTTTCGCAGTGGTCGGTCATTGGATGGGTGACCAAAAATTTACTATCTCGAGCTCCTCCGTGCTTCGGAAGGCACGTTAAGCCGTTGGTCCCGGCTGCATCTGCAGTCGTTAACACCCACCAATCCGCACTGGGCCCGCGTGGTGGGTCATGGCCCAATCTCCCTATTCCATCCATAGGGAAGGCCTGTGCCCCAGCAGTGGGGACATTAATAGGCTGATGATTATTATTTTTATACTTATATATGTACAGTATATGTATTCTATCCGTTACCCTAGCATCCCATAACACAAGCCTTATAGTGCTTACTTTGGGGCTAGGCTAATTGGTGTGAGTGTTGGAAATATTTATTATTTATCTATACAATTTGAATGTTTTTAACTATAAGATTTTCATTGATGATTTAAATAAAATTATGTGTTAAAAAGCAACATAAGTTATGTTAATAATATCTAACCATTGAACCGTTTAATCCAGATTTAACTACATCCCAAATTCTCATACTATCTTAGGATAGGAAGGATATTCACAGGTTTTTATACCTTTTGCCACATACAATCAGATGGGTATGGATTAATTACTTATACCAGCACAAATTTTCTACCCACGCCCACATAATAATTAAAATTTGTCAAATACGAGTCGAATTCGCACACAAAGGGTTCCGTACCATTGTACAAGGTTTTATGCCTTTGAAAAACTACAACTATTTTTTATCGAAAAAAAACTTTGCATACCAACGCCTTTACTTCTTTCTTTATTTCTTATTTTGAATATTATTTAAGTTTACTAGAAAAAGCTTTTTTTTTCTAGTAAACTTTTCTTTACATTTAAACATCTAGCAGTTAAATGCTTAAAACATAAAAACAAAACTTGATTATTATTTATTCAAGTTGCAATAGAATGATAGATACACATTCAACCTGTTACGGTTCATGAGGACAGGAAAACGGAGGCTTAATTTTACGGTCAGTTGTCACATTTTGGATAGGTACAGAATACATATAGAACCTTAACAATATAATAAAAAAAACATCATGGAATACATTTATGTACATGGACAATGCTAACAAGAACAAAATTCGTTGTGCAACTATAATTGTTGTAGCCGTTTTGCAAGTACGTAATTATCTAAGTAAAGTGTTTATCATGAGTAATGCTACGAATTTCCTCATATAGTCTGTGCGGAAAGAGAGTGGGATTTAGATTGCAGGGCGCTGTAGTGCTTTTCTACCGTATTTATAAGGTTTTACCCCTTTTAAACATGATTAAATACAATAAACCGCAAGAAATCAACACCAACAAACAAATCCGTATCAATATAAAACTTTGACATTTTACAGATTGCTGGGTTTGATTGCCAAATAAAAATCTTAATATTAGTTCCGTTTTTCGCCATGCCCATTCTCTTTCCGCACAGACTCTTCCTACTGTACTGTGTTTGTCGCCTTAATTAGTTAACACCATAGATATAACGTCTGTGGTTAACACGCATCACTGAATATTCCAATTTAATTGATAGTTTAACCTCCCTTCATTATCCACAATAATACATAATAAAGAATATTGTTACTTGTAAACATGAAACGAAATACTGCAATTTTGGTAGCAAACATTTTCTGATTTATGTTCTATCCGCACTTAGTTCATAGAATGAACCATTGTGCGTGAGCTATGACGTACACTGGTGGATTTTGAAAAAAGTGGTCATTGGAATTATACGGATTTAAAAAATACTATTAGATAGTACTAATGAAACAGAACAATAAATGTTATATGCAACTTTTCATAAAAATGCGTCAATAACATATTAAAAAAAAATATTGAATAAAAAAATTATAGCAAAAAATATCCTAAGAATTATCATAAATGCCAAATTGGTGTTGGTTCTTAGGCCAAATTTACATTGTCCATAGAAGATAAACCTTTTAATTTTTTTCTCGAGACTGTCATGAGCTTTCAAAGTTTAATCAATATAGTGGTTTAGACCTACATTTTCTTAACACATATCAATTAAAATATGTTGCGGCCACGCGCGGCTTTGCCTTTAGGGGGGTTTCAAAATTAAAATATTTCATTTCTTTTTTTCATCGTGTTTTCGGTTGATCAAACGTGGAATTCATAAAGTAGATGATAAATTTGCATGCATTTAATTTTTTTTTAATCTTTGACAGAAGCACACTGCTTATTAAATTATGAAATAGTAGCATTGTCTATGATACATTTCATAAACTCATTGTTTGACTTTTTATTTGACAGCTCATGACAGTCTCGAGAAAAAAAATAAAAAGATTTATCTCCTATACAAAGGACAATGTTAAATTTGGCCTAAGAACCAACACCAATTTGGCATTTATGATAGTTTAGTATATTTTTTGCGATAATTATCAGTATTTAGATTGTGACGGACACTTCCAGTTAAGTAAGCTATATTAAAAAGTTAAAAAATAATCTGAGATATAACTACCATTTTATGTGTATAATCTATGACAGTGTTGCAAACACAACTTTCTTCCTAATGCCGGCACTTCACTTGGATATTCGTGTTTGCTATTTGAAAACTTGACATCAGTCTGTCCTTTTTATTCCTTATTAAGCACGACAAGGACAGACTGTTGTCGAGTGAAGGGCCGGCATAAAAATCGATACTCTGTGGTTGTGGTGCAGGCAGTTTGCATTTGTAGTAATCCGTGCTGTGGCATTCGTGCATTCTCGTTTCGGATTACCTGTTGTGTGTGATTATTTGTGATTGTTTTTCTTTTAATTTAACTATTTCAGCTATCTAATATGCCATCGATGTTACCAAAGAGCAGATACCTTATTACCAAGTGCTAGTGAATCTGTGCCAAAACATCCTGAGAGGATCATACTGCCAAATTATTCATGAGAACCGATACACATTCACGCTGCATATTTACACAATATACCTACATATTGTGATATACAAATAAATACAATATACAATATGATACAATTATGTGAAAAATAGTCAATAAATAAGAAGCAAAACTACAGTTTTATTTTATCCATGATTCCTACCTAACCAAGTTTTTCCTAACAGTTATTCTTTAAAATCGCACCGAATAAAAATGAATTAGTTGTAATATTAATTCACTTCATACTGAATTCATACTAAGTTCATAGGTTGACCTATGTTTCATTTAATATTAAACATAACCTCAAAAACTATTTAGTTTGCCTGATAATTTAAGTTCTCAGAAGTGTCCGTCAATAATCTTTGTTTTTACTGTCATTTACTTGCAATTTCGAACCTAGAAAATAATATTTCATGATTGTTGGTTCTTAGGCTAACAATGTATGGACGCAGAACAATGTCCTTTTTATTTAATATTTTTTTGTATATGAATAACGCATTTTTACGAAAAGTTCCGTATCAAATTTATTGTTCTGTTTTATAAGTACTATCTAATAGTATTTTTTAAATGCGTATACTATTTCCAATGTCCTTTTACTTACTACTTTCTTCAAAATCCGGACCAGTGTGTGGCGGTCGATTATTGCAGTCAGCCCACCTCCCAGAAGCAGATCAGTCTCTCTTTCTCAGAACCGTACTTTCGATAAGGAAGTTCAAACGAAATTTACTTTCTTCTATTTAAGGTTACACTTGATTTGAACGATAAATTATCAAATTGAAGCTTTCTTTGAGTAGCCTTAGAAAATCTACACCTCAATCTATGATGAATATCATTATAATTAAAAACGAACCAAAAACATAGTAAGAAAAGTGCGAAGATCCGATCGAAATTTCGTTTTTCGTTGAATTGTTGTTAAAAATGGAAAAACAAATATTTTTTAATTAAGAAACGACTTCAAAATACTGAACATGAAAAAATAATATATATTTTTTCTAAAAAATTCAAGGTGTAATGTCATTGTTACGGGGTAGTATAACAGTCTTTCTGTGGATTCGTCTGGATAGCGAATGGTGTTGGTTCGATTCCAGTCTGATTAGTGATGAGTACCTCACTCGTGAAGCGCCTCGTTTGAGTTCCTCACAGCGACAGAATGATTCCTCCTCATTTTTGCTGTGGGCGTGGCGCGAACACATTTTGAACTTTATAGCCTAACTTTGCGATGTCTATATAAATGCCTGTGTTTAGAACACAACAAGTCCAAAATTACCACTTCACTCAATCCTTTAGGCAAAGCAGCGGATAGTATTAGCATTAAAAATTTAAGACGGACGGGCGAGGCGGCGGCCCTCCATATCGTCTAGTAGAAAACGGGAAAATTCCGCTTGCGCCCAGCCTAACCAAGAGAATACAACGCAACGTTGTCGCTTTGAGCAATCCTCCTCACCTTACCTCAAATGAGGGGCACCTCACGAGTACCTCATGAGGGAAAATGAGGACCTCACTTATCCTCAATAAAAAATACGAGATACACATCGCTAAGCCTGAAATATAGACTGAATGGATATATCTTTCAAAGAAACGACAATGTTGTAATCTTTCAAGTTATCTATATCAAACTGTATATATTTTTTTAAATCAAAGAGTAAACTTCTTGTTTGAAGATATCGAGCAGGGCATTCCCGAGGAAGAGGATCATTTGGAACCACTGCTGGACCAAGATGGCCGCCCACGGTTGCCCACGCGGCCCAGCAACCTCAGTCTCTCAGAATTACGGTTTGTCTTCCCCTTCTTAACATCATCAATATTTTTAAACTTTCATAGTCACTAACATTAAAGTAATAACTTATATTACTTTAATGTTAGTGACCATGACAGTTTAAAAATATTGATTTATGGGGATTGTAACCATGTACCCTTGTTTTTAGGGATATTTCGGCACTGTTGAAAGCGCCATGATCAAGGAGTAACTGACCAGTTACGGTAACAATCCCGTAAATAACTTATATCATCATCATGTTGAATACTACGCTCAGGATCCATCACACTTTCTTTAATCTGTGGAAAAGTAGAGATTTTCTATGTATATAAAACTACCGGCAGTCTGCTTAACTTTAGTTTTTGAGGAACCCACAGAACTTTTTTTTTCGGGATAAAATGTATTCTATGTCTCAGTCCTAAATGTACCGAATTTCATCCAAATCTGTTTAGTTCGTGATTGCGTAATAAACAAACAAACCTAGAGAAACTTACAAACTGATACATTTATAAGACTGGCTGCCACCTGCGACTTCTTCCGCGATAATTTTAGTTTTCTTGTGAATCCCTCAAGAACATATTTTTTTCCGGGATAAAAGTATCCTAAGTCTCAATCCAGGTCATAAACTATATATTTATAATATTAGTAGGATAAAATGAGGAGCTCGATGGCACAAGCGGTTAGCGCGTTCGGCTGCGATCGTTGAAGTTAAGCAACTTTCGCAGTGGTCGGTCATTGGATGGGTGACCAAAAATTTACTATCTCGAGCTCCTCTTTGCTTTGGAAGGCACGTTAAGCCGTTGGTCCCGACTGCATCTGCAGTCGTTAGCACCCACCAATCTGCACTGAGCCCGCGCGGTGGGTCATGGCCCAATCTCCCTATTCCATCCATAGGGAAGGATTGTGCCCCAGCAGTGGGGACATTAAAAGGCTGATGATGATGATGATGAGGATAAACAAACTGAGGAGCTGGCGAACAAAACGGTATAATTACATCAAATTAAATTTTACAAGAGCAGTAAAAAAAATGAACGACATATCTATAGTAAGCTTTTGGCTTGATTTTTAATTAGTAATTTTAACACTATTTTAGGCGGTTTTGATTGACATGAGTTGAAATTCAAATTCAGCTGGCCCAAAACCTCTGGGCTGTAAAATGAAATATTATATGCTCAAAACCATATGCGTAATAGAGTATTTGACAGTATTAAAAATAAAGTGCCAATTGTTAGCATCTGTGTTTATAATGAATATTGGCAGGGGATTTTACTATTTTAACAAAAAAAATATTCTTTATTTTACTAAAACCCCACGAAAAAGATAATAGTTTTCTTATCTATTGTCACGTGACCCAAAACCTTTGGAGTTGGTGGAGCCTAAAATGATGTCACAAGTAAGTAAACTTCCGGTTAACTTTAACCGGAAGCATAACGATACAATGTAATGTCACTTGACATTACATTGTATCGTTTGACGTTTTAATAACAGTCGTGTGACGCCACACACTACTAGTAAGACGAGAAAGAAACGTTTTCGCGGTAACTTGAAAATAGAGTTTTTGATTTGGTTATTTTTACTGAAATACACAACAGAATGATTAATATCCTTTTTACGGACTCCATAAACATTATTCAATAACGTGAGATCGTTTTCTAAAACTTGTCAAATACCCTATTATACCGTTTTGTTCGCCAGCTCCTCAACTATAAAATAACATGAAGCAAACTTATCACATATTGAAACATGAGACAAACAATGCTATTGTGGTTTGACTGTCCCTATCATGAATATTTTTGTTCATTAAAATGTATAATTAATATATAAGTAAATCAAAGATCAAATCATCAAAGTACAGTTTATGTAAATTATCAAAGAACGACTGATATTTATGTAAATCATTGACCATTGGTAGAACCTGAGGCAACGCATGATTTTTCTTTTTTATAAAAATAGGATGGCAAACACACATACTGCTCGCCTGGTGGTAAATCTAAAGATGCTCGCAACACCGTACGAGTACCATCCACGCATTGTCTGCCTAAACCCTAGCCCCAAACTCGTGGAAGCCTGCAATGCTAACCTGTTAAATTTTCACTCTCGGATCCAACGTGGATCCTCGCGAATCTGTATGGGAAACGTGAAAATTTTCAGAATAGCACTGCTGAAACCTTGCTTACTGACAGCAACACAACACTACCTTTTTTTAATAATTTCTGGAAAGGCTTAACGTCTTCCTTCGCCACCGGAAGTTACAACGAGGTTAACTGTGGACTCCTACCTACTCAATTCTAAATGAGCAGGGCCCTACCTCGTAAAAATCAGAAAATGCTCCTGCACCTCTCCCCCGACACGCATTCTAAGGACCGAGGTCCCCCTAATGCGTATCGAAAGTGCGGGTTGAAACCGTGGGAACGAAGCACTCCGCAACCCACAAGTAAAACACAACAGCACCTAGCCTTATATAACTGTTGTCTTCTGCTATGGACGCTCCAATTTACGCGGCACGTAACTCTAGCGCTGAACAAAACGCGGAGGTAATAGCCGCGCACGGGTACGACTGAAGAGCCAATCGGCGCAACGCACGCCCACCCGCGCACCTCGTTTCCCCCCAAGACATCTTAATTTTTACTTCTACGCAATAACGGTCAGCGCTAGAGCTTCGTGACGCGACCTATACCTCTCTAATGCTAGTCCACGACTTCGCCATGTTAGCCCTGTCGCTGTGGACTTTGCTTCGTTGCGTGCGCGCTAACGGTCTAGTACATTTTGTTCTCATCGTTCGACCCGTCGCTCTAAGCCGTCGCTCACATTCTTATCTCAGATTCTCATTGACTATCCTTAACAGCGATCACCCTCGATTACTGCACTTGTCTGACCAAGACCTGGTGTCAGCATCATCTGCTGCATCCACCGTGAACAATACTCCGGCTGTCGAGGGTCCCGACCCACTGCCCAAGAGGTGGAGGAGAAGCGATCGGCGGCTAAGAAGGCTCAACACTGAACTGCTGACAGCCATCGAGGAAAATGATGTTGAAGAGGTCGAAAGGTGAGAAAATTTACTATTTAATAATGAGGCGAAGCCGACAAAGTAGATATGCCAATTATCTTAATCTCCATGCTCAAAATATAATCCTACTCTTGCGCTGTGATAGCAGAAGATGGGGGATGGGATTTCGAATCCCATCTGAAACCTGGACCGAATGGAACTTTTTTTAGTAAAACTTTCTTTCGATGTAAAAATCTAGCAGTTAAAATTAAATGCTTAAATAAAAATATAATAATTCTACGCTTTTTATGTAATTTTGTTTACAGAGAAGGATTATTAATACCGCAATGTAAACATTGTAGCTAAGTATTTCTTTTTTCTAAGAAAAAAAGGTGACAAACAAGAATAAGGTCCCGCCTGATGGTAAGAGATCACCATCCATAGCCTAAACACTTGCGATACCAGAGTCCCCTCGCACTGTTGCCTACTGCCTGCCCTATCCTGGAGAACTGGAATCTTACACAAAGAATATTTTCGCTAATGAACCATGATGATTTCCAGCAAAAGGTACATTTATTTTAAAAATTCTTGCCACGTAGTCGTACTATGCGGTGGTGATGCTCCCTCACACTTTGGAAATTTTGACATTTGTAGTCTTATAGGCAATAATTCTTCTAGGTTACTAAAAGCAGGCGCAAACCCCAACGCTACCTGTCGTAAGGACATGGTCTCGGCTTGCCACGTAGCCGCATTGTGCGGAGGCGATGCCCTCTCACTGTTGGTCAAGTTCGGAGCTGAAAAGTACCGTCTGGACAGACTCGGCAGAACACCATTGCATTTAGCGGCCTTCGCTGGAAATGCGAGACAAATGGCCATCCTACTGGACTTCCCAGAGGGTAAGTGACTGGAATAATACCGCCTGGTCAGACTCGGCAGAACGCTACTGCATTAAGCCGCCCTCGCTTTAAACAAATGTCCTAACCACTAGACTTCCCAGAGGGTAAGTAAGCGGAATACCCCTATAGACAGACTCGGCAGGACGCTACTGCATCTGGCCGCCTTCACGCCAGACAGATGGCCATCCTGATAGACTTGCCAGACTTGACAGACTTAGCCAAAATAGACAATAGGCAATTTGCTCCTGTTAAAAATAAAGTACCTGTTAGCCGAATTTAGGTCAAATAAATACCGCCTAAAAAGAGTCGGCAGAACGTTGCTACATCTGGCTGTCTTAGCTGGAATTGCCAAACAGATGGCCATCTTGCTAGACTTCCCAGAGGGTAATTAGCCAGAATCGATAATAGGCGATATGATTGAGATAAAAATAAAAAAAAACTTGTTGCCATCTGTGTTTTACTCGAATGTTGGCAGATAATTTACTATCCTGAGCGAAATAACAACTATTACGAATATTTATCTAAAAATGTTTTTGATCTTTTGTCCTGACTTAATTGCTAGAATTTTAACCAAGCTTAAATGACGTAATATTTTATGCTAAGCTAAGCTTGATAAGAGAAATGGGAGAGAAAATATTATAATCTGTTTTTAAATATATATTAGAAATATATTACACTAAATTGAAATAAATTCTAGCACAATGACCACAAAAAAATCTACAGCTCAAAAACAATAATATCACTACTGCAGCAAGCTGTTGGTGATTGTAGGAATTTCAAGTTCGCCTCATCACCACGATCAGGTGGAATTCGTGATCTGGCGCCACCACAGCCTCAGTCTTCTTCGAGACCAACCTCAGGACCACTAGCTCATCAAGCACGTCCTGAAGAAAATTCAATTTTATTTTGAATAAGTACATCATCATTATGCTATTCATGTCCCCACTGCTGGGGCACAAACTGGATGGAATAGGAAGAATGTTCCAAGACACACCACGCGACCTCAGTGCAGATTTGTGGGTGCTAACAACTGCAGGTGAAGCCTAGATGACAACATAAATGACTTAACGTGCCCTTCGTTCCTAACGAAGCACAGAGGAATGCAAGATAATAAATATTTTAATTACTCATACTAAGAACGGGTAATGCTGAAGTCAACGCATTCTAGAAGTCCCGTTAAATTGAAAGTAAGTTAGCATCCGCGAGTGCGTAGTACCTTCTTTCTTATATCTACGTAGGTAACGCGCATAGGTTGTAAACAAGTGCAGATGTCTTTGCACTTTCTCCCTTACGCCGCACTACATCAGGCTCATATTAGATTGAGTCGACCACTGGACCATAATCGCGATCCGCTGTATTCTGGTAAATTCTGTCTCTAGCATTGTCGCGGTTTTCTTTCCAGAGCGTTTGTGACAATACTTAGAATTTTTCAGATAAGCCCGTTTGATCGAAAAGGAATCTAATCTCACACTAATTAAATAGATAATACATTGATAAGTGTGATACACCATAATGTTGAATTAAAAACAAACAGATTCATACAGATATCATAATTATATTACACCTACATATAATTATGATATGGGTGTTCTGTTGTAATCTTATCGCGGAAAAATACTGAATGAAAATATAATATTAAAGTAAAACTAACTATATCGATTGTACTCTGATTCGGTATTAAAGAAAACCTTACCCTTATAATGGTGTCGATTCTGGCATCATGATTCTCTTAACCTAAACTTAATTTGACAACAGTGTATTTTCTCATTCTCTATATAGAATGAAAAGGAGAGACTGGTGTTAAATTTAGTTTTAAGTTTAGAGAATTAAGCCAGTATCGACTCCACTGTATAATTTAAAACATAAGAAGGCCCAATATTTTATTTTTTGTTTTACACTGAATAAATTATACATCAGGTTTGTCACCATTGTTTAATATTACTCTTTTAACTTTCGGTCTGATATAAAAGTCAAAATATAAAATCTCTCGAATGTAGATACAAAATAGTATCAAAACTTTATTCTCCAAAAAAAATATACTTAAAAAACTACTCACGATTTCCTTTAGGGCGTTCGAAGCGTAGTGCGACAGATTTCTCATGTGGGTGGAATAGGTAGCGGCTGTCAGACTGTCCAAGGTCGTAGTTTCAGGGAAACCTGGGAATTCAGGAAAAAAAATAGCTGTGACAAAACTGGGACGAATTAAACACTCTGCAAGTTCTTAAGGTTCTGTTGCTAAACTTTTTTACTATTTAACTGTGACTTCGAATAAACTTTTTGGATATCCACTTTTCCACTAAATTTAAATCCAAGCTACTAAGTCTGAAGATTTATTTCTGTGGTCTCGATCACAGTGTGTACTCACGTGAAATAATTTCAGTTTCGCAAAAAAAAAACATTTTAATAATTAACCTAGATAGCTCGGAGAGCCTATTTCAACAATGAATGGTGGCGAAGAATTCAATCGAATTATTAAATGTTAAGTATTAATACTATCTGAATACATTCAAAAATAAGATTTCATCCCTCTGATCTAAAGAAAATCCATTGACTAACCACTAGAGACGGGTTGAATTCTGGGAACAGGTGATTTTTTCTAATAAAAAGAATCTCTTCTTAAAAAATAAGTTCCCTCTGTTCCGAAAATTTACATTGATACCAAAGCTGGATAACATTTTTAGCGCCTAAAAACGCTAGTGATTTGTGCGACTGGAGTAGCACGAATACAAGTATGTATTTACATGCAGCCAGCGAGATTGGAGCATCTTAGGGTGCTTGCTAACGAGACGATTTCTACCCGGGTCTAGGCACGATTTAAACCACGTCCGGTCGTCAGTTAGGTATGGGACACTATGGAGGTTTCTAAAGACACTGGCGCCAGCTATGGTTTGGTGTCACTACAAACGTACAAACCGCGCTTGTGAACAACCTTAGCCAACACAAGCCCGGGTAAAAACCGGGTAGAAATCTTTTCGTTAACAAACTTCCTGGCTGTGTCAATGTAAGCTGCCATAATCATACAGTAAAATATTTAATGATTACGAACCTTCACAGTTTACGATTATAGTACCGACGACGTTACCGTTTTCGTTAATGCGTGTCATAGCTTTCTTGGCAATAGGACCCTGTATGAGATTTAAGTCATCAATTTTATTTGAGCTTCTAGACATTCATGAGTGCTTGTAACAGCCTAAACTAAATAAATGATTCTGATAATGATTATTTGTATGAAAGTTTTTTTAAACTCCACGATATGATGTTTTTGTATTAAAATCTCAACACCTCTCAATTCCTCCTAAATTTGACACCGGTGCGAAGCCAGGTGGGTCATCATCATCATCATCAGCCTATTAATGTCCCCACTGCTGGGGCACAGGCCTTCCCTATGGATGGAATAGGGAGATTGGGCCATGACCCACCACGCGGGCCCAGTGCGGATTGGCGGGTGCTAACGACTGCAGATGCGGCCGGGACCAACGGCTTAACGTGCCTTCCGAAGCACGGAGGAGTTCGAGATAGTGAATTTTCGGTCACCCATCCAATGACCGACCACAGCAGAATGCGCTAAACACTTGCGCCATTGAGCTCCTCAAGGTGGGTCGCTAGTTTTTATTAAGTTTGTTAGCAAATATCCCATTTATCACGATGCGTGGTGGGGCTCAAGAGATGGGAAAACTTCATAAAAGATATTATTATTTATTAAATGCTAAGGAGACAGCAACCCCCACGTGGCGCCACTGTACATACTTAACATTTAGGCACCGCATACACTAGACGGCTACGACAACGACCAGCGGCCGCAACGACCAGAATAACTAAAGAAAGCATAAGAACGTGCCGCACACCGAACCAGTACGTCTTGTTCTTTTTTGAGTGTCTATGCTATTGGACGCAGATGACCTTTACAGCGACACCGGGTTTGGAGTCGACAAAATCCTAAGGGGACCTCAAACCGAGAATTGGCGTGTGCCTCTAGAGGTATTCCAGGCGGATGGCATCTCCCCACGGGGGGAGTCTCCTCTCCGTCTGGAGCCTCTAGGGCTCGAGGGTCTCTGAGACTCGGACCTCGGCTCTAATTAGCCGTTGTCGTAGGGGGCGGGGAAAAACGCCCAGGTACGTACCTGTACCTGGTATAGCGTGTCGTGTGTAAACCGGGTCTTCGCACTCTTATCCTACGGGTGCGGTGTCTACCTAAGGCTAAGCTAGTGTGCAAATATGCTAGCTGTTTAGTGTAGGTGATTGTGGCCTGTATGGGAGGAGTCGGAGGCGCGTTGGCGCGGGTGATTTCGTCGTCGGGGTACTCTAAGACGTGCCTAGGGAGACGGAATCGGAGGGACCTACGATTAGAGCGTCTGGTCGTTGCGGCCAACTTACGTATAGTTCGCTATGAGTGCTCACGCACTAGATCTGCGACCACGAATGCGCCACTCAGTGTAATGCCTGTAGTCATGCGGTTTAATTCGGACAATTCAAGCTCATGAATGAATACACTTCGTATAGTTACGCAACTCAATACGACGACGTCTTTTTCTACTTTGAGTTTTAATATAACTCTGTAACAAAATTTATTAATGAAATAAAGAAACGACCAGGGGGTCTACTCTCTTTCTCCGAAACGAACTTTCGATAACGAAGTTCAAACGAAATTTAATTTCGTCAATTTAATGTTATACTTAGTTTGAACGATAAACTATCAAATTGAAGCTATTTTTGAGTAGGCTTAGAAAATCTTTACCTCAATCTATATTCCGACGACCAATATTATTATAATTAAAAACGAACCACAAACATAGTAAGAAAAGTGTGAAATTTAATTTTTCGTTGAATTAGAGTAGGCCTCTAGTGCTTTAGCCGCTTTACTTTAGTTGTTGCCCTGGCCACCACTTAGTGTTGCCGCACACGGGCCACCGACCACAACCACAAAACGCCGCCACCGGCATATTTCTTGTAGTTTTCGTACATTTTATATGGACTCGCCACACACGGTACGCCGGTGGCCGTCACACGCTACAAATCGTTGTTGATCGCTTCTTGTGGCCCGCACCGGCCACTTGATGCGCCGATACAAAACGCCACCACACGTCACTCGCGCAATTCCCCACCCCTCTCTCCCATACCTTAGTCGGCCGCTGTCGCACGCTTCAGCCACTTTAGTAGCCGCTTCTAGCTTCTCGTGGCGGCGTTTGTGGTTGTGGCGTGTGGCCCGTTTGCCGCGACACTTAGCTTCAGCCCACCGTCACTTTTGCGGCCTACGTTGTGGCCACGGCCGTGGAGGTGGCCGTCTAGTGCGCGAGATGCCCTAAATTCTAAAAACGCCTCTAAAAACGAATGTTCAATCACAAATATTTAACTTGCTCTTTATGAGATCATCTTACGGGAAGTTTGCAAAACAGTAAACACATAAATAAATAATAATATGACTCACGCACCATAAAATTTTGAGCAATCTCCATTCTTGGTTTCTATCTTATTTTGTACTTCTATCTTGTGATACACAATTACTCGTATATAATTCGAAAATAAGTATATTTTCTGTTTCCATAAATTCGCTCTTCTTTCAACGTGACGGATAAAATAACAGCAAAAACTGTCATAGATTTTAGAAGCTCTTTGTTGTCATAGTAAAATTAAAGGCACAAAGAAAGTATTACAATTTTTAATTAGGTGTCGATCTTCGCAAAAACTCATCCATTGCGCTGAATCTCTATTCATTCATTCATTAGAGCATCATATGATGACTGATCAATGATCATCAGCAGAATTAAAAAATGGAAATTATTAGAGTAAAGAAGATTACGATGACAGTAACCCTAGCACGAACCATTATCGTATTCGAATAGTTTGCAAGTGCGAAATGTCAATGTAAAATTTTATATGGAAACTTGAACAGCAGCGCCACATATTACGTAACGAGAACTAAAAATTAGTACACATTTGACAATGACATTTCGGACTCGCGAACGATACGAATTCGATTGGTTCGTGCTGAAGGTACAGTACCCCTAGCACTAACCAATATCGAATTCGTAACATTTGCGAGTACTGATTTTTAATTCTCGTTACGCAATTTGTGGAGCTGCTGTTCAAGTTTCTATACAAAATTTGACATTGACATTTCGCACTCGCAAACGTTACGAATTCGATATTGGTTCATGCTAAGACGTACTATTTATAGTACGAGTTTGAAAGTTACGTAAACTATAATACACCTACGTCGCGCGCCGTTTGCCTGTCGCATCAAAAGACGTACCTACTATAACTCCAGAACTTTCTTTTAAATCTATTCTGTAGATTTTGTTAAAAACTTTCGTCATTTCCAGACATGCAAGCCCGTGTTGAGAGCGACAGTATGTCTTCAGAGGCTGAAGAAGACGTGAAGAAGCTCTGTGAGAAGACCATGGCTATGGCTAACGTTCGCTGCGACCTCGGCGAGGTCAAGACGATTATACCCAGCACCTGGAAGGACAATATAGACCACAACTGCAGGAGCATAGAAGGCAGCGTAAGTTTCTCTTCGTCATCATTATCAGCCTATTAATGTCCCCACTGCGGGTGCATAGGCGTTTACTATGGTTGAAATAGGGAGATTGGGCCATGACCCACCACGCAGGCCCAGTGCAGATTGGTGGGTGCTAACAACTGCAGATGCAGTCGGGACCAACTTATCGTGCCTTCTGGAACACGAAGAAATATAAAACGCCCAGAAGAAATCAAATCTCTGAAAACAAGAAACCTTTTTCAGCTTTTTGAAAGCTGTCGGGCTAAAAGAGATACTTTAACTTGGTTATCATCATCATGTCAGCCGTACGAAGCCCACTGCTGAGCTTAGATCTCCCCCAAGGATCTGCACACCGATCGGTCCTGTGCTACTCGTATCTTTCGGTTTCCCGCGACCTTCACAAGGTCTTTGGTCCAGCATGTAGGAGGCCTGCCCACTGAGCGTCGTCCAGTGCGTGGTCGCTAGTCAGGAACCGCCCCAACGGCCACCGGTTCTTCCACCCAATCCGTCATTCTTTATCCCGCCCACTGCCACTTCAGCAGATGAATGATGAGAGAATGAAAATAAGAGTAGTAACTGATCACTAAATATGGTCATATCGAGCTATAGAAGCTTGATCGCTAAATATGGTGATCGGTGATCTACTCTTATTTTCATTGATCACAGAAAAATTACCATTATTTGTTCTTGTCGGTCTTTGGTGTCATACCTTAGTTGTGAAACACTTTTAAATTGGCAACACTCTGTTTACTAGTATTGATAGAAGTCATTACTTCCAGCTACCGTTACTGCAGCCCGGCTGGTCACCCATCCACGTAGCAGCCGCGTGCGCGCGACGTCACTGCACTCGTCTGTTATTAGCTGCAGGGGCTGACCCTAATGTATGCGATGAGGCGGGACGGACTGCACTGGACGTGGCGGGGTCAGGGTACTATATGGACATGAAGATTGACTCAGACAAGTAAGTTCGTAGCATACGCCCTAAGCTTTCCTTAACCAACTGTCAAGTACACTAGGTTTATAGGAAAAAGATTTGATTTTAAAACCTTCAAAAAAAGAGCGTACTCCTTCCTTAAAGGCCGGCATCGCATTTGTGATACTCCTGGTGTTGCAGGTGTCCATGGGCGGTGGTGATCACTTACCATCAGGTGAGCCGTCTGCCCGTATGCCCCCTATAACATAAAAAAAAAAAATGTGTTTAAATTGCTTGTTACTATTACGGTGAGATGTCAGTCATTTTTGCTTTTATCATGTTTTCTATGAACAAACTATCTATTTCGATACATCGGCATTACAAAAACCAGTTCCAAAACTACTTTTACCTACAGATGGAAATCTAAAAGCAGTTCTCAAACTGATCGCATTTTGAAAGCAGGTGACGTCAGAAGTCGCAAAAACCGACGAGCGTGTATGAAATCAGTAATAAATGTGAATGAAGCGAAATAATGTGTGTACCTACCTTTACCTATAGATATATTGTCACGAAGAATCTGGAAACAAATTTATCCAGAACCTCGCGACGTGTATAAAGTTGAAATTTATACATACGAAGACCGAGTGTTACGGTGCATGCGAATATGTGCCCCAGCAGTGCGGCGTAAGGTCGAAAGTGCAATGGCAACTGCCAAATTGTTTACAATATTGACACATTTGCAGCTTCCCCGAAGTGTCGTCAAGAGCCGCAACTCCAAACTTTGACGCGTTTTATATTTGTCATCTTTTGGTTAACTGACAAAAGAAAAGAAAAAAAACGACGAGTTGCCGGCAGAAGTGAAAACTTGAATATTAACGTTGTGCATTTTTGATATTTTGGAATGGTAATAATAGCGACATCTATTGTAAAAAAAATGCATTTTCTTCGCAATAAAGCTGCCACGTGGACGTCCTGGATAGTGACTTATTATTATAATACGGTAAAATAAAATATTACCAAGTTTCGTCCAATATATTGAAAGTCAACAACCTTTCCAATTTTATTGTGTGTCATGATGCAATCAGCCCAATTTTTTACCCATACAAAAAAAAGTGTACAACGCCGCTAAAGAAGTTTTCACTTCAATAAACTAACTGATTAAATAGAATTTCGTTTAGTTTACCCCGTCATCTTCCGTATTCCAGCTTCACCGAAGTGCTCAGACTCATCATCAGAGCGGGCGGTGAGAACAATACGATGAAACCGCAAAGATTGAATGACGTCACGACTCCTCTCCACACTGCGGCGGAATTGGAGAACGTTCCTGCTATAAAGGAATTGCTGCAGATTGGCGCCTCCATAGCCTGCCTTAACACTGCGGGCCAGACGCCGCTGCATGTGTGTGTGAAGAAAGAACTCGAGGAACCGTTGAAGGTAAATTTAAAGTTTCATCGTCGTGCAATATTCCTACTATTCTACTGTATCCTACTAACATAGGTCGTATATATATATTATGATTATGCACCGACTTCGTTCTGGACATATACCACTAAAAAAAATCTTGCTTCTTTAAAAAAAAAACAATTCCCCTAATTGTGAAATATGTGAGAAAGTGGAGGATGTGCAACACATTTTAATGGAATACGTCAAAAATGAAGCGGAAAGGAGACATGCATTCTCCATCCTTAAAATTAATAGGTTTGAAACTGGCATATTGCAGGGCATTCTAGCCAACCCCCTATCGGAGGAGGCTGGTGTGCTTTGCAATACGGCAGCAAACATTTTATGTAAAAGTTAAATAATTAAATAATTTTAAGAAAATTGTATGGTCAGGTTACAGTAAAAGTACCTAAAAAACTGTATCCTACTGATAGTATTGTAAATGAGGAGCTGGCGAACAAAACGATATAATTAAATTTTACAGATGCAGTAAGAAACTGAACGGCATACCTACCCACAGTGAGCTTTTGTCGTGGTTTTTAATTAAGTAATTTTTACACCGTTTTAAGTGGTTTTGATTGAAAATGAGATTGAGATTCAAATTCAGTGGGCCCAAAACCTCCGGACTGAAAAAAAAAATAGTTTGACCAGATGCGTAATTATACATAAAGTAGAACTTTTTATTAGCTGCAGTAAAATGACGTTTTGTGGGTTACCGCTTTTTGAAGAAAAATAAATAGGGATGTAGCTAAGTGAGTAAGTGAATCATTCAATAAATGAATGATCAGTTTGGTTTTGTTTTAGAGATTTAATATTAAGTTGTAATGTTTTTTTATGTGAAATCATCAAGTTTTTCTTTAAATGTAAGTTTTGGGCCTGATTTTTCGGGAGGTTTTGGTGATTCACAGGCGTTCTCCTTGTGCTCCTTTAAAACGGAATAAACAGTGCGGACGGATATTCCCAAGACTTCAGCCACCTTGTTGACGCATTCACTTGTTTTTGGAACTTCAATGTTTGATTAGGTAGATTGCACTTCAAGCACATATTTGTAAACGTTTCTGACCCAAAGTTTCTCGGGTGCACTTACAGCTACACGTGGCCTTTTTTTCTTAGGAGATAAAAATGTATCTCCATCTTGTGATGTACTCAACTGAGCATCCATGTCTTCGATGTCACAAACAAAAAAAAACTGACACGATTAACAAAAATAAGTAGGTAACAAAAAACAAACACAACGTAACAAAATTTAACAATAATGATAACTAAAACACCTCGCAGTGGACAAAGCAAAGTTATTCGTGCACTCAAAATAGAAGTTAGAAGCCGAATGAGCAAATGACAAATAAAATAAAATGGTGGACAAGCGTCATCGTAGCACCGTAACTAAAACCAGTACCAACTTAAGATTTTATACAGCCTTTTATTTATAGAATTATAAATAGAATTAAGTATGATCATTATGAGTTAGTTATGGAACGATTAGATTTTCTGTGAACCTAATCCCATCCCTATTGAAATTAGGCGGTCAACATTTTTTTACGGAATGACATTTTGAAAGTTAATTTTACTGCAGCTTATAAAAAGTTGAAGTATAGATCTAGAAAAGATTTTTCGATGAACCACTGCTTGCCCGGCTCGGTTTCGGCTTTTCGGTATCGTGTCGTTTTGTTTGTTACGGTTTTGTTTGCGAAAGTGACGGGACGGTCGATTCGAATGATTCGGTAGCATTCTTACTACTCAGTAAGGGAACTCTCATTTAATTTAACTCTATTTCACCGAAAAACTAAATTTCGATCGAAATATTCGCACGTTCCTTACTACGAGTATGTTTCTTTTTCATTACGAAAATTCGATCGTCCGGAAACATGGACGTATAAAAAAAGGCGGACAGAGTTTCGGCTAAGACAATACTGAGGCACCGTAATGGCGGCGGCTATTGATGAGTGAGTGAATTGTAGGGTTGCTAGGTTAGCTAATTCTTTACCAATAAAACACAGTAAAAACATGAAAATATTTTGATTGTTCAAAATTTTACTTTTTGCCCGATTTCGGAGGATAATGTTTTTCGAGCGTATGTATGCATGTATGTATGTATGTCCAATAATTTGGCACGCCCTACAGCCTGAACGTCTTTATAGTGTGCTCTTTTGGCGGACGGAGTAACTGAAGTGATCATGGCGCTTGCAACAGTACCGAAATATCGGAAACTCGCTAAAAACAAGGTACCGACGGATTTTGACATGCGAGGTGTCATTTGATTTGTTGTGATTGTGTGAGTAGCACTCGGTATATTAAAATTTCAAAAAATCAAAATAACAGATTTTATGCGCCAAAATGAAACATTTTGAAAAAAAAAGTATAAGTATTTTTATAACCCGTCAAGCGAGGTATCAAAGCGAAGGGTTTTAAAAGAATATTTAGAAAATATACAACTCGTGTAATTAAAAAATAATGAAATTATAATGTCAAAAATAAAAAAAATGTACTAAAAAGAAAAAACAAGTCCAGTAGTCTAGAATTCTGTTTAATAAGGAACAGTTACTTTAACAGTCGGGACTCATTAGAAATTCTAGAATGTATCGTATTTCTTAAAATAAACTAACACCCATTGAGTATTGTTTGTAATTGAGGAGTTCCATTGTTTTCCTCCGAAAGTACTCATCAGATCTCCAGTAAATTAATATGCAGCCATCTCGCTAGTAAACTGATTAAAACAAAAAAAGAATCATCATAAACGGTGCACGAATCTCGGAGATCTGCGCGAACAACAATAAAAAAAAAACAAATATGACGCATTGCGAACCTCTTTCTTTTCGAAGTCGGTTAAAAATTTTAATCAACCTTTTGAGGTAATGCATACGTAATAACACGCCGGAGTCCTCCTTTAGTTGTATATAAGTCTTGAGCTTCAAAATGAAGACTAAAAATGACACTACTACATATTTGTTTGGAAATCATTCATTTTCCAGTAATTTCTCCATACTACTTTTTTTTTAGGAAATCTGATAAAAAAGAATAATAAATAATAGATTGAAGTTAATGTCAACCCAATTTCCCATATTTTAGGTAATATGGTTACATGAACATTGGCAACACTGGGCTTTAGACTAATCATTTTGTCCTTAGAATTAAAATTGAATTCGATTTCTAAAAACTAGAAAAAAGTGATTCAATTATTCATTTACCTATGAAACGTGATTCCTGGATTTTTTTTCTTTCGGTCACTACGGTTTTTACACCTTTTTACAAGCAAGATATCTTGTTTAGCTTATTTTTTATCTCCACGTAACGTGTCGGCTGCTTTGACGTTTGCACGCGTAGTGGCTGACTATTGTGTGAATGTGTGCGTGCCGGCTTGTACGTACAGCGACCTGGCCGACTCTGAGCGACACAGTTTATTGTTTACCGGGACTCTGTCCGCCTTTTTTTATAAGTCCATGTCCGGAAATAATTTGACCATTAAATTCTCCAAGCCTACTTACTCTTATTGAATTTGACAGATTGATCGAAATTATAACCTCAAATTAACGAAATTTGTATTTCTGATACTTCAAAGCATTCAACGACAAATTTAGGTTGACATCCAATCGATCAACTCTACAAATACGGCTAACACTGTCAAAAAGAGTTCTTTCAATGTCAAAAGTAATCTAAAAAGTGTAGATAAAAAGAACTCACAAAAATGACATTAAATTCGTTCACAAAAATTGTTGGTGATTCCGAACTTTATTTGCGTGTTCGAAAAAAAAATTGAGTAGTGTCACTGGCGAAATTTCGTTTAAAATTCGTTCGTTACCGCAATTCCGTTTCGGATAGAGTAAAGCTCCAGATTCGGAATAGAAAGCCTGCTTCAATCACGTAAAAATGGCGGAATGGATTTGAATGACACACACACACATACATTTTATAACCTGGATTGAGATGAGACAGGATAATTTGTATACCGGGAAATTGTGGGGTTTCTGAGGGATTCTCAAAAAACAAACTACATTCAACACAAACGATAGTAAATAAATTTTTCTTATAATCACACTTGAATAATAACAATGAGGGCTACCGTTTTCTGTCTCACCAAATGGCGCCACTGTTGAGTGAGGTCCTAAATTGTAACTTTTAAAGTTTATTAATACGCACATGAAATCAAAGGTTACATTTAGATCGTATTTTAACACAAAAGAACCATATCCTAAACATAATAGGCCATGCCACAGTGACGCCCAGTTCCGTTTTATTCGGAAAAAATGGGAACATAATCATTTTTCTAAGCTCAAATTTTTAATAACTGACATTCATTGCCACATAACTCATATTTGCCTTAATTAAGCCGAATTGTTACCAATTATTCACAACATTATTTTAATAAGAAATAAACCCGCGTAGTCAACCAACAAGCAATAACATTTGACATTTCGGAGACCTCACGCTACACTAGCGCCTCTAGCGGCGGATTCATACGCGATAGCCCTCATTAGCGTAGTCCACTGTAAGGTTTGTGTATTAAGGTAGTGGAGAAAAATACAAAATAAGATACATTTTTGAAGTGAAAACTTCTTTAGCGGCGTTGCACACTTTTTTTGTATGGGTAAAAAATTTTAAACTCGCGTCAGGTTAAACACGTGGGCTGATCGCATCATGACACTCAATAAAATTGGAAAGGTTGTTGACTTTCAATATATTGGACGAAACATAGTAATAATTTATTTTAACGTATTATAATAATAAGTCTCTATCCGGGACGTCCACGTGGCAGCTTTCATCATCATCATCGCCACTGCTGGGGCGGCCTTTCCTATAGATGGAATAGGGAGATTGGGCCATGACCCACCACGCGGGCCCACTGCGGATTGGTGGGTGCTCACGACAGCAGATGCAGCCGGAACCAACGGCTTAACGTGCCTTCCGAAGCACGGAGGAGCTCGAGATAGTAATTTTTGGTCACCCATCCAATGACCGACCACTGCGAAAATTGCTTAAGTTTAACGATTGCAGCCGAA